TCATGATGGAATCTGTTATTTACGCTATGATGATACAAATCCTGAAAAAGAAGAAGAAAAATTTTTTATTGGTATTCGTGAAATGGTAGAATGGCTTGGTTATAAACCAGCTAAAATTACTCATTCTTCTGATTATTTTCAACAGTTGTATGAATGGGCTGTTATGCTTATTAAAAAAGATTTAGCATATGTCTGTCATCAATCTAGTGAAGATATAAAAGGTTTCAATCCACCTCCAAGTCCCTGGCGAAATAGACCAACTTCAGAAAGTTTACAATTATTTGAAGTAATTATTAAATTAAATTATTATATTTTTTAGTATAATAATATAAATATTTTTAATTTTTGTAATTTTTTAACTATATATATAAAAAAAATATAAAATTTTAAATATATTTTAATTACTTTTGATTTTTTATATAGGATATGAAAAGTGGTTTACTTGAGGAAGGTGAAGCCACATTACGAATGAAAGTAACATTAGAAGAAGGTAAACAAGATCCAGTTGCATATAGAATAAAATATACTCCACATCATAGAACAGGAAATCAATGGTGTATTTATCCAACTTATGATTTTACTCATTGTTTATGTGACAGTATAGAGAATATAACTCATTCTCTTTGTACAAAAGAATTTCAATCAAGAAGATCATCATATTATTGGCTTTGTAATGCTTTAGATATTTATTGTCCTGTGCAATGGGAATATGGTAGATTAAATATTAGTTATACAGTTGTTTCTAAAAGGAAAATCAATAAATTGATTGAAGAAGGCATTGTATCAGATTGGGATGACCCAAGGTATATTTTAATGAAATTGTACAAATATAATATCATATAAATCTATGATATTAATATTTAAAGTCATGAATTTTTAATTTATTGTATATATATGTATATATATTGTATATATATGTTTTATTTTTAGATTATTTACATTAACAGCTCTTCGTAGGCGAGGTTTTCCTCCTGAAGCTATAAATAATTTTTGTGCACAAATGGGTGTAACTGGTGCTCAAGTAATTGTTGATCCAATTGCTTTAGAGGCATCTGTCAGAGATGTCTTAAATATAACTGCAAGTCGACACATGGTAGTTTTAGATCCATTAAAAATAACTATTAGCAATTTTCCCCACGAAAAATCCATAAAAGTAACAGTTTTTAACTTTCCTAATGATCCAGATAAAGGCAAACATGAGATTGATTTTGATGAAATTGTATATATTGAAACATCTGATTTCAAAGAGGTATGTAGTATTATTTTTTAATTCAATTATACGGATTAATAATATTTTTTATTATTTTATTAAAAATGTTATATATTTATAGAAAGCAGAAAAAGATTTTAGACGTTTAACACTAAACCAATCCGTTGGTTTAAAGCATGTAGGAATAGTATTAACAATCAAAGAAATTGAAAGAGATAGTACTGGTAATATTGTAAATCTCATAGTCAAACAAGAATCTATTTCTGAAACTAATAAACCTAAAGCCTTTATACATTGGGTATCAAATCCTATATTAGCATCCATTAGATTATATGAACGTTTGTAAGTGTTAACTTAATGTAATAAAATAATAATAATTTATCATTTATATAAATAATTTTTTACTTATTTGTGATAATTTTCAGATTTAAACATAAAAATCCTGAAGATATTAATGAGGTACCAAATGGCTTTTTAAGTGATATTAATTCAGTCACTAAAAAAGAAATTGTTGGATATATTGATAAAAGTTTAGCAAATTCGGCAAAAATTTTTGAGAAATACCAGTTCGAACGTATAGGCTTTTTTTCTGTAGATCCTGATACGTTACCGGGAAAGGTAATTGAAAATATAAAATTTAAATTGAAATAATGTTATTATTATGTTATTATTGATTTTAATCTTTTGCAGCTTGTTTTTAACAGAACCGTAACATTAAAAGAAGATGCAGGAAAAATATAAATAGAATTATTACATTTAAGCAATATATATTTTCAACTTGATAGATTCATCATCAATTTTTATAATATTTTGTTATGATATTTGTAAAATAATAATTTAAAAAATTATTAGATAATTAATGGATAAATAAAAAGCTATTTAATTCATCATGCAAGATTCATATGTAGGAATCATATACTTAATATTTATAAAGGCATCTTCACCTCCATATATTTCAAGTAATTCAAGAGTTTCTTGTATTATATCTGCAACATTTTCACCCTTCTGTTGTGCATAATCAATACCTTCTCCAAGATTTACTAAAATATCAATTTTTATTATTTTTATGTAAAATTATATAAGTAAAATTGTAGAATTATAGAATTATAGAAGTATATTAAAATCTTACCGTTCCTATCTTTTAATAAATTAAGAACTGGTAAGATTTGTCTAAAATATGGTACTAAAGCTTCTCCAACACAATCTGCTGAGCGTACAAGATTTTGAAGAGTTTTCAGTGTTGTACACAAAACTTCCGGTACTTTTGTATTTAAAGCTTCTACAATATATATAAATTATATATAATTATAAATAAATTATATAAGGTAATAAAAATTTATAAATTTTAAAATTATTTAAAAATAAAAAATGGAATAAAAGAATGAGAAAATGAAATACCTACTTTTAATAGGAATTATTAATTGTGGTACAACAGGTAAAATTTTAGGTCCACCATGTTCTAACATATCAGATATTCCTTGTTCTACTATGAATTTAAGTGGTTGTTCAGTTTCTGTTAAGCCATCAAAAAATAAGGGTAAATAGTGATGGAAATCTAAATCTTCGATGTTCACTTTCCAATTAAGTTTTAAACCATACATATCTTTTTCCAATGCAATTGGAAATACACCCCATTCATAAAATTTCCGAAAAGTTGATGGTTTGGCTGGTTGAGGTTTATATAATTCATAGCGAGGAGGTTTTGCAACTACAGTATTTTCCTATATAAATATATATAGGAAATCTTATAAATAATATTATAAATACTATAAAGAAATATTAATTCGTATAAATTTAATTTTTAAAATATTGAAATATTATATTACCTGTAGAGCTTGAATGGTGAAAGCAGGAACAACTCTGGGTTTTCTTTTTTTATGTTCTGATGTATCTTTTCGAATTTCTTTCCAAAATTTAGTTTCATTTACCATTCCGATACTTTTTTTTAGTAATATTCAATCAAAAAAAATATTTCAAAATTCGAATGAAATATTATAGAATATATATATAAATGAATATAATTTTATTTATTAAAAAGATACCAAAATTTTATATTGATAATTCGTCAGTACCTAATATCACTGAATCGTTCTAGGCAGCAACTGAAAATATGGATTTAACACGTTTCTTAGCAACTATTACAGCTGATTAATCAACTATTATAAATAATAACACATGTACATCTATTTAAAAATTATTTTTATCTTAAAAATTATTTTTATCTTAAATTTATCTTAAAATTTTATCTTAAAACATACATAAATTTTAAATGAAATATACTAGGAAATATAAAAATATTAAACTTCCATTAATATACATCTCTTCATTTTATGTACATTAAATATTTTGGTAAAGAATAAATAACAATTATTTATGATTTTGTTGCAGATTTTATAATTTTCTTGAATTGTAGATCATCAAATATTAAATCCCTTTTTTTTGGTTCATCTTTATCAGCTGTATACTTTTAATAAGAAAAATAATGTATTAAAAATATGATTAATATATAAAGTTAAAAATTGAATAATTTTTTTGAATTTGAAAAAATAAATTTGAAAAGGATATTTGTGAAGTAATTTGAAAATTCCTGTTCCTACAGGTACTGGAATACCCATTATAATTGATTCAGAAACTCCGCAAATAACATCTTTTTGCCCATAATAAGCTGCATCAAATAAGTGATCAGATGTCTTTTCAAACTGTTAAACAATCATTTATATTAGTATTTTTCCATAACAAAGATGTAATAAAAAATATAGATATATAAAGTCTTACTGAAGCTAAATTTAAGACAGATTCCTTCATTTTAGCTAAACCTTGTCTTGTAATACCTAATACTTCTCCTCTGCTAGTCATTAAATCTGCTACAAGCATTGGATGTCTTCGATCAATACTCATTCCATGATTTTCCATGACCAATTTAATTTCTGTCATTATAGTTGCTCTTGCAGCTTCAATACCTAAAGTTTTAAAAACCTGAAACATTATATAATGTATTTAATATATAACATTATATAATGTATATATATATAATTCATAGATATATAAAGATAAATTTTTTTATTTACTTCAATTGTATTGTTTGAAGTTGTTTTTTTGCCAAGAACTCCAAGAGTTGCCATTACATCTCGCATATTGTCTCCTTCTACGAATAATTTATATTTTTTTTTACCACATGAATCATCATTATGAATTACAGCTCTAGAAACTGATGGTAAACCCTTAAATTGTATAAACATAAGAATATATTAAATTTTTCAAAATTAAAAAATATTTATTTATAATATTTATAATATATATATTTGTTTTTTAATTTATACATTTACCTTTATAACAATATTTGGAATCAATTCTTTAAGTTGTGTAAGAGCATAATTTAAACTGTATTTATTTTTGCTTGGATTTACAGTAATAATAGAATCTCCTCTAACATTTACCAATTTTGGATTTAATCTTAATTTTGATGTACAAATTCTACATAAATGTTATAATAATTAAATTTATTTATATGCAAGAGAAATAACACTTCTTTTTATATTATAAATATAAATTTATATACTTACGAATAACGTATAGAATTGACATCTACTTCTAATTTCAATAATTTTATTCTATCGATATCTATTTTGATTAATAAAAAACAATCATCTGGAAGATAAACTTCTTCAATATATTCTGTCACTTCTCCTAAAGTAGTTTTTTCAATTCTGCCTTTTACTCTTCTAGCATATTCTGGATCTGCATCATTTATCTAATACCAAAATGAATCAAGAAATGAAAAATAACATATTATTTAAATACATATTATATAAATACTATTTAATTAATTAAATAATATCTTTTCATATAAATAGAATTTTAAATAAATATAACACAAAACTTACTAAAGCAGCAGTAATAATCGGAGTACTAATTTTGGGACTTGCATTAATAATTTCTTTAATACGCGGTACACCTTGAGTAATATTCATAGACGCTACACCAGCGAAATGGAAAGTTTTTAATGTCATTTGTGTTCCTGGTTCTCCAATACTTTGTGCAGCAAGTGCACCTACAGCAGTACCTGGTTCTATCTTTGCTCTCATATATTTTTCTTTACAAGTATGAATAAATTCAACTAATTGAGAAACTGTGAGTCGTTCAAGTTGTAAAATTACAGGTACATTTAATACAGCATTATGTCGAAGGCGTGCTATTTTACGTGCTACAGTTTTAAGGAATGTGCTATAAGAAAAAGTAATATTTAATAATTTATTTTTAATAATATTAAAAAATGAAATAAATGTTATATTTACGATAATTCTTGTTTAAATTCTTCACTGAGACATTCATATTCCTCAGAATTTAGTAATTCATTTGTAGCTTTAATTACACTATGACCATCTAATGATTCTTCATTTTTACATGGAGATTTGGCTCTTACATGATCCAATATTCTCTTATAATCTACTGGACAATCTTTTCCTATTAAAATAATTATGTAATTATTTTATTTTTGATATTATACATAATATGTTACCTTCCATGTATGTAGGATCTAAAGCATCTCCACCATACAATATTTGTACAATATCTCCTACTGAATTACGAACTGTCATATCATAATGAAGGCACAAATCTTCTAAACTCTTAACTAGTCGTCGTTGCATATAACCAGTTTCAGCAGTTTTAACTGCTGTATCTACAAGACCTTCTCTTCCACCCATTGTATGAAAAAAAAATTCCGTTGGTGTTAAACCAGAATAGAATGAATTTTCTACAAAACCTTTAGCTGCAGGAATTTTCGAATGTCTTTCAAAATGTGGTAAAGCTCTATCTTCAAATCCATTTGGAACTCTATGACCACTAATAGCTTGTTGTCCCACACATGCTATAGAGTAAAAATATTATAAGAAATATTAAAAAAAATATTCTTTTAATTATTATAAAAAATATGTATATATGTAATTAATAAATATACCAATCATTTGAGAAATATTAATAAAGCTTCCTTTACTACCAGATAATGCCATAATTAATGGACTATTACTTGGATGAAGTTCTTTTAAACATGCTTTACCAGCATGATCACGAATTACTGAAAGTTCCTTTAATATCATTGCTTCTAATGTTTCTTCTTCTGTACAACCAGGTTGACATATAAGACGTCCTTCTTCCATGTCTTGAATGTATTCTGTACACTTAGAATATCTAAATCATAATAATTAATAAATACATAATTTAAATATTTTTATTTATAAATAAAATAAAATGAGTTTTAAATTTAAACTTACCCTGCATTTAGAAGTTCTTGTTTAGCTTTAAGAAGTCCTTGACCAGGTGTAACATCACCAATACCAATTGAAAAACCTCTATTCATAAGGAAGAAACTTGCCATTCTTGCTAATCGCCACATAGCTATTGTTGCAATATCTTCACCCCAATCACGCAATAAAATATAAAATATATTTTGTTTTGACCCCGAACCTAACGTTGATTTATCCATAGATCCTGCTAATAATTCTGAATTCCGAATAATAACATCTGCAATTTATTATTTTCGTTATTAACTAATAAATTTATTAACTAATTTAAATAAAAAAAATTTTTATTAACTAATAAATTATTAATAATAAGAATACATACAAGAATCATTAATACATAATTCCTCATTGGTAGTGTAAGCTCTTCCTTTGGTTTTTAAATTAGCTTTAATATTACAAGTATTATTAGGTTTTAAAATTAAACTAAAAATTTGTTTTCCTGTCCATAATGTAGTTGGTTTTAAAATAGCTGGTTCAGGTAGATTTATAGACATAGTAATATCAGGTCCTGCTAGAAGACAACCAGCTAATTGACTTGCTTGAGTTTTATTTAGAAACATGTCTTTTTGAGTCAGAAGATATCCACCAGTAATAAAATCT